TTATTTCTGGCCTCTCTCCAAAGGCAGTGAGGCCCCGAGGCTCTGACAATATGTGTGTGCCCCATATGTGTGTTTGTAAGTCAAATCCACGAGTCCTTTAGTTCAAACATATTTTATGCAGCTTCCCTACACAGTGTTGACATTCAATTGAAAGCAATCCAAATGCATTACAACTGAAAAGATCATATTGGATGTTCAGCAAGTGATCACAACTTTTAACAACCTATATGTACACTGGATTTATGATTACCATGGAACAAGAAGCGTTGTTATTCTTCCTTGAACTTGCTGGCCCGTTGTTCTGCTGATAGGTTTGAGTTTATAAAACATTAACTGTATGAATAATTTAAGGAGACAGTAGCTTGCATGAGTGACATATCGACAGAGAGCATGACCAGAGCCAGTATCATCTGCTTCTGATAAAGGAAATAAAGCTATCATGATTTAAATTATGAGTGTCTGTGTGCATACAGTTTGTGTGTGAGAGAAAGGGATAATGTGTCCCTGGCAGCAGAAAAGGACTCTCCTCTTAAAGCCAAAATGCTCATGACAAAAACACATGGTGGCAAAACAAGTCTCTGTTGGTTCCTTTCATTTTTATCATTTGAGAGAGGCAAGGTTTTTATCTGACACTTACGTCATTCAACATTGACTTTAACATTAAGACCAGAGGAAGTGGTCTGAACTTGTTTGTTTTAATGCCTGCCGGTCAGTTTAGGACACTGTACTGTTATCTCATGTTTCACCTTTTTTAAATATATAACTTTAATGTCAGTTGAACAATTAATGTTCCAATAATTGAGAGTCACTAGTCTAGCAGATCTGGTTACATCAATCACATATTATTTTCTGTCTTCTCTGACTTGGTGCCCATCAATCTTTATTTCCCTCTTTCATGCTCCCTGGCTTCGAGGGGCTTCAGACTTATTCCTGACACTAATTTGTCCACAGCTGTCATCCTGCTTGTCATCCTCCAGAGATGAATGGGGTTCAACATGAGCTGAGGGCCATGGAAAGAACATGCACACTGCACAGGTAAGACGCCAAATCCACATGCACACACGTGGAATAATTTACAGGTATTAAGAGGTTTCAGCCTTGGATTCTTACCACATGCTTTCTCTTGCCAGTAAACATTTAACAAGACTCTTTTATGAGACGCTGAAAAGGATATATGCATTAAGTCACCAAGTGGGCTTATTTAGGTTTACCAACAATTTCTAATTAGAAAGCGCCTGCACAGGGCTTGTGGTAATTATTTGTCTGAAGCCACGTGGCAAACATCTTGAAAATCTCCTCATGGAAAGGGAATTTTTCTCCAAGACGAATTCTCCACCTCTTTTGTTTGCTTGAAGCGTAGCAGCAGATTGTTTCTTTAGTCCAAATATTCACCCTTCAACTGCTTCCCAAGAAAACAAATCTATGCCTCTACCTGACTGAAGCTTTTCAGATCCAAACAGTACACGATTAATCATGTCCGACAAATAAAACAGCTGTCACTAGAAAGGTTTGCTCATGCAGAAATGACAAAGATCTTTGCACAAACTTGTAACATGTCAATGAAAGCACACAAAGCACATTGCATACTTGTTTTGTAGCGATTGTCACTATGTTTCCTCTGAGTTGAAAATATTTTTTTAAAGCCCTTTTATGAGCATGAACATCACCGACTCATTCTGCAGAATCATGTACCAGAAATGGTAAAGGAATGAGAGTAGGGAGATTCCTAGCGGGTCACATAAGAACACTCCATTCCGCGGCAAATATGTGGACATTTGGGCCTTTTTTCCTTTGGAGAGTTCGGGTTTTGTTTGTTTTCCCCCAGCTCTCTGGACAGCCTTGGACATGGTTGTGTGTGTTGGCCGAAGCCCTTGTTTCTACATTAAAGGAGATGTTCTCATGGGCTGTAACTGAAGTGAACACTCAGTGTTGACAGTGCTCTTAAGGAGAGGTTATTTCACAACTTTGGTGAAAATTGTCAAACGCCCATTAAAGTTAATGTTCTGAGGGTAGTTTAACCATCAGTGTGAAACTGTTTTGCACTTGAGGACTGTTTATTTGTTTCTCAGTAAAACTTCATGTTCATCTCTGTGTCCATGTTTGGGCTATAGAGTGAGATAGTTCATGACAAGACTTCAACTTATTTCTATTTTACACCTGCAGGAAGTGGTCAGATTTTAAATTAGAGTGAAATGTCAAGTTCTCACACCAAATGAACCTTATAGCTCATGTGGTGAGGTTTTCTGACAGGAAACGCTCAAACTAAATATACCATTCCTGAAAATCGAGTTCAAGAGCTATAGTGAAAACTAACGTTGATAATAGTCACCCTGAAAACCCTAGAGGATCTCCCCTTACAAAATAAGACTGTTTCATGTGTTGAAAGCAACAGCATGGAGAATCAAAACAGCAGTTTTAATGAACAAGGGGGCCAAGGACAGAATGTGTTTGTGATGGAACAAAGCAAACATTTATCTGGATATTCTGAAGCGTGCATCCAGTGCAGAAGTGATGAAGTCAGAGATTTGGACAGCTGGGCCTCGGGGTGGAAGGGAGGATGTAGTGAGATTATAAGAGCATGATTAACAGAAAACAGACTTGAGGAAGAGGAATCTCCCTCCATCTCTTAATTTCCTTTACTTATCCCACTCCTTTCTCCTGATCCCATTCCTAGAGACTAAGAGATGAACGGCCCTCAACTCTCCTTCCTCTTCTTGTTTTTGTTCATGGAAAAAAACCTAAAACTTTATTGTTTGAGTGCTTTCTTTGGTACGTATATCCACTGTAACATCGAACATTGAGAACAAGGGACTCAACTTTGGAATCCCTTTTGTCTCATCATGAAGACCTCTCAGGGTTTTTTCCTCGTAAAACAACATGCGTTCTGTCTGGTTCTGTTAAGTTTGAGCCGTGGTTCTTCCGCTCTTCATCCCACCCAGAGCCTTTTTCCCCCCAACATGTAAACCCACAGGTGTGTGGTGATTGGCGGGGTGACGGAGTATTGTCTTTCTTATCTGCATGGGTATTTACAGTAGATGCTCACGTGATTTCAGGGAAGAGTTGTTGTTTTTTGTTGAACGTTCAGGGATGTGAATATGGATGAATAGATCAGTCAAAGTGAGTTTATTTTGAATGTATAAGCAGCCTTTGATGAAAACATGTTTCCCACAAGTTTGCCTTCATTCTGATTCAGAGATGAACTCTCAGACTTTGCTTCACCCCAGATCTGTTGCACTTTCTGACTAGAACTTTCAATGAATAGTCATTGATCAACAGGAAAATCACCCATAGCAGGATCTTTAGTGTTTTCTTAGACTAGTTACACGTCGTCTGGAGGACTGAGTAATGCTGACTGGACAGAAGTCTCTGTATGGTGCAGCAGTAGGCTACCAGATGTGTGTGTGTCTGCATCACTGATTGTTCCACTAAACACACACACACAGACACAGAATCCCAATATGTTACTTGCAGGTATTTTACGAGACCTTAAACCGGGAAACAAGTATTTGATCCTGCTTTTTAACTGAGATGAAAGTGCTCAGCGCGTCTTAACTAGTCACACTCAGTTGACTTTGATTGGCAGAGTTGCCAACTTTCAGGATGTATAAGGAGGATGAGGATATGTCTTAGACAGCATAGGTTTTTTGTAAATCTTTGAAATTACACAGCAGCCAAAAACGTTTGAACTGACTAATGTCACACGCTGTTAAAACCTAAAGCCCTCCATACTGTGTGAATGTATTTGAGTTACTAGATGGTTTGATTTAACAAACGTGTGTAGTGTGGATCCTGACCCCCATGTTGCTTTCTGGACATTTCCTCACTGACCAACCGGCTCCGCTCTGCTTCTGCTGACGTTCTCAGACACATTTATCATTCTCTTCTGACTCAGAGGCACCAGCAAGAAGCAGAGAGCTAAACATAACAACACATAACAACCCACAGATCTGTTCTCACATATCTCACAGGTTGCTGTTTTGGGTTAGTGGTTAGAAATGTTCAGGTCAAACTCTTCAAAACATAAGAGGAAGTTGCTAAAGCACGAATACGAAAGGGGTTGAGGGGAGCTTGGTAAAACGTTTTTCTGGCACAAATAAGTCTATTCAATGTTTGCATTCCTTTATTAAATACTTTTATTTATCATTTAATTAAATAATGAATAGCCTATCATATGTTGACCATGTGTAAATATGGAGACTATCCTACTGTGAAGAAAAGACACAGATGGACAGAAGAAGTTGAACAAATATGTTGGCAGTCTATGGTAGGGACATTTCAAAAAGCGACTGTCTGAGCTTTTTGCAATTGTCATCACCGGATGGAATTTAAATGACTAATAAGTTCCAAATGCTTCCGAAGATAATTACTGACACATGGACAGAATAAAAAAATAGTGACCATCGAATTAGAATCATAGATCTTGCAGCACCACATCCGCCCAAGTACCTGAATCGAATTGAAATGTAATTTATGCAGTAACCTTTACCAATGTGTTTTTGTTTGTTCCTCTTGTGAATCATTTGAGAACCAATCAGGGAAGTTTTATCATTTTCCAAATGGTTATTTCTTCTACTTCCTCCACACAGAATATGTTAGACTTAAGGTTCTCTCTTAATCGTTCTACAGTATATTTAGGATGGATCAAATGACTTTGTTTAATGTGAAAGTGTATGCTTGTAGTGACAAACAAGAGAATCAGCAGTTCCCAAGCTTTGATAAACCAATTTAGCGACTAGCTGGTGAGCAGAGTGGAGCATTTAGCAACCAAAGAGCCACATATTTTCTTCAGTAATTGGTTGAGACCAAAACAGAGATAAAAGGAGAATTAACATCAGATGTATCAAGGGGGACATAAACATAACTCCAAATTATTGTGAATGTTGCTCCATGTCTGCTTGATTTGCAAAAAAGCAACTATTTGCTAGCCCATTTTTTAAATCAACATAATAACATGAAAATATGTGGTGGCAACAAAAAGAGATATCTATGGGTTCAAACGATTGCTTTTTAACCATATCACATTTATTAAGAACACTGGGAATAGTTTGAAAGCCACAAATACTCATATACACACACAAATATTAATAATATAATTACCAAACAATACCCATAACATTGTTCTTCGCTCTCCTAATGCCGGCTGTTTGTGATCATGACTCGTCCAGAATACACACCGCAGTTCAATTGCACCATCGTCCAGTTCAACTCCATAAAGTTCCATCTTATTAGGTGAGTCAAAGTGTAAGCGCTCATGCAATTTGCGTTATTGTTAAAGTACTTCAAGTGCTCACATTAGAAGCTATAGCACACTTCGAGGTTTGGGATGCTGCTGAGAAGGATGCCCTCTACTGCCTTCAACCTGAAGGTATTTCAGTCTTTGAACCCCGCTGCTGTCTCTAGAGGTCCTCATAGTCAATGGTTCCGTGGCCGTTCTCAGGGAGAGCATACATAGATTTACTCTTTTTCTTCCTGCTGGCGGGTCTCATCTGTGCAGGGTCTCGATTCCCAGAAAAGGACAGGTAGGCAGCGATGCTGTTCCTGACTCCATAGCTCACCATGTTTTCGCCGCAGCTCTCTGTGCTCACCAGCTGCTTGCTGTAGAGAGGAAATTACAGAAATACATTACATTACATGTCACTTGTTAGACGCTTTTATCCAAAGCGACTTACATACTCAATACTGTGGACAATCACCACAGGAGCAATTTGGGGTGAAGTGTCTCAGGGACACAACAACATGCTGACTGCAGTGGGGTTTGAACCTGACCCCCTGATCCGAACACCAACGCGCAACCCACTGCACCACACGCCTCCCACCTCTTTTCTCTTTCACTGATGTTTATCCACATCTTGATTTCAAGCCATTACTTTATTTGAATCGATCAACCACAGATTTGCTTGAATCTAAATTCAATAACAAGAAGTTGAATAAATAATTTGTCAATTTAAAGACATTTATTTAATTTATTTGAATTGTTTCAGACATTTGTCATGAGAAATGGCTGTAGTTCGAAGATAGTACATTCAATATTTTCAGACAGTGGGTCAGATAAAACAAGCTATTTCATTATTAGCCATTTTGGGATTGATTTTCACAGTTTTCCAACATTTCATTGGTGAAACCATTCATTTGTTATTTGAAAAAGTAATGTGCAGATTATTCAATCTTACATTTGACCATTGCTATTTAGAAATGCAGTAAATAACTGTTTTATATTGCATTTACAGTGTCACCTTATAAAAACAGTTATATGGTGAAACTATTCCACATCATAACTTTATTTCATTTTTATAACTATTATTATTTTTGTATTGCTCTTGCTCTTATTGTTATTATGTTATGTTATTATGTTGCATTGTTGGAGAAGCCTGTGATATAAGATTTTCAACTGCATAATTACTCTGTAGCTATGTCAGATTGACAATAAAGAACCTTGAACCTTGAAACAAAATAAGCCACCATTGGACAAAGCATCATGCACTGCCCGATTAAAGCTGGTAAATATCATCACCAAGCCTCAGTTGTACCTGTCTATTTTCTTCCAGTCAAAGTTGCGTCTCATCACTACAGGTGGAGCTGCATGGGCTGCGTCAGGCGGGGGGGTCGTGCTCGACTGACAGGGGGAGGTTAAAGCACAACAGAGGCCATCTGAAGCGTCTGAAAAGGCATCAATAGGGGAAGTTAAATCATTCTCACAGGATAACAAACAAACAGAATAAATGATTTGCATTTACTCCTTTCACGCTCAGGCAAACATTCAAACCAAACTCAACAGTCGTCCTTACCGAGCATGCATATTGTATCTCATTTCCTGTTTTGTTACAAAAATCTATATTTCGAAAGTCGATCACTGATGAGCAACAGTTTTATATTAAGAACATGATGGCCTGTTTATGTACGTGTGTACGGCTCTTCTTATCATGATGCGTATTTCCTTTTTGTTTGATTTTAGACATACTTATCTGCGCATAGTTACGTATCTCAGTGTGTGTGTGTGTGTGCATACACTCACCACAGTAGTGGTTGATCATATCTTCTAGGCACTGGAAAGTGAGGCGAGGGGAGATGTAGTACCAGCTGTTGTCCAGTCTTAAGATACGATAGTGCTTTACACTCCTGTGCTTCACTGAGAGCGAGTACAGACCTGAGGATGTAGAAACACACATTTCAACAAGAAACCAAAAACATCAATAACAATTGATCCACTCTTAATCGATACTAAAAAAGGTTGGGACAATGTAAAAGCAGAAGTGAATGTCAATCCTGGGTATTTTTGTATCATTGGTAAAGAAAAGTTTCAGATCATACTGTGACCACACAGAATTTTTTAGGGGAGATTTTGTTTCCTTAAACAAATATTTGTTAGCAAAAGTAAAAGAAAACTGCTTATCGCCACATTGTAAGTATAATAACCATGATAATAACGCAATATTTGTTTAATCAGTACGAAAAAAAAGTGAAAATGTATCCATTTCTTTGTCTTCGCTGTTTTGACTACGTTTCTTGGCATTATCTATCTAATGCTCGGCAAGAAAGTGAATAAGTGTATTTCATAAAATGTATTTTCCTTCAGCTTATTTTTGTAGTTGTGACTTCTTTTTAGAAATCTGCCTCTACATACAGAAAACATTGAGTTGAAGCAAATGGCCGTATACCATCTTGATGCCCCAAACGTATTTTCTGTAAATTCTAACATAAAAAAACTAAAACTTTTTTTAATTAATAAGTCAAAAGTTAACTTTCAATAGCGCCATCCCTAATCCTCAATTCCTTTTATTTAAAGCCATCAGGTGAAACTTTAGTAAAAACTCTTTCACTTCTCCTAAGATCTGAAAGAGTATGGCTACTTGCAGAAACTCTTAAACATTGTACAGAAAGCCCTCACCTCTCTCCCTGGTGCTCTCCCTCACCAGGAAGGAGCCCACTCTGTTCCCGGGTAAACTGAGCAGCTCTTCGGCCTTCTGCCTCTCCACCCCCTCAAACAGCCAACTGACCGGACAAAAAAAAGCCATGTGTTAGCGATCACATTAAATACTCATTGCATTTTAGACTTTTACATTTTAAACTGAATCAATCCCTTCATTTTATTATATATTAACATTATCATACACAACAAAAAAACATCAAATCTACACGTACAACACTAATGTGATGACTATTTTGTGTTAATAACATCTGCCGCAACTTCCTTCAGATTGCTGTAGTGGAAAAATATGCATTTGATATTCTTGATGTTATGTTCAAACAGATCAATGAAGCCGATATTGGCGGATGGTTTCAATATGGTTCTACTTACCCATGGTACACTTTTGCCACATGGCTGTTGGGTATGTAGTTCTCCTTTTGTGTTTGGATGGAGCGTACTCTCCACCAGTAAGCCTCCCTGACCATGAAGAAGCAAAGAGGAATCAAACATTGACCTTTAGTGTGAACACTTCTCTATCCTGCATCAAGTAACCAACTGTATTTCCTCATTTTGATTTGAGATCTTCCGTCTACCAAGTTAACGCCTGGGACAGAAGAAACTGAAATGGTTTTAAATGAAGAAAGCTAATGCATGAACGTACTGAGCTATGAGTCTGAGCTTCTCCCCCATCCTGTAGATCGGCTCGCTGATGTCCGGCGACGGGTAATCCTGAAGCACCACTACCATGTCGTCCTCCGGACCTGCCGAGAACAATAGTTACAGCCTTTTCTACAAACAGAATACAGCTGACATTTACTAATGCAAATACAAAGACATCATGATTTAGAAAAGTCCAGAGATGTGTGGGACTACACCTCGGAAATTCCTTTTGTTTAAGTCATTGAGTTTAGCTTAAGATCATGACATCTCCGATACAATCAGGCTGTGCATTCGAAGAAAGTGGATAACTATTTTAAGAATTGTTAAAGTATATTTTTGTTAAATTAATCAAAAAAGTAGATGTCCTGCTTTTTTCTGTTTGATATCAATTTAAACTGAATTTCTTGGAGGTTTAAATGATCAAAACAAACATTAAACATCCCCTTGACTTTGAAAAAACTTGTAATTTATGACATTTTTATAGGCCAAAACATGTATTGATTAAACCAAAAAAAATGATAGGCAGATTAATTTAAAATGACAATAGCCCTTAATTGCTACCCTAAACTGGAGTAGGCACAGCGAAAAACGTTTCCACAACAGTTTCTTATACAAATCAAATTATGTTATTTAAAATCATCTTTAAGCGTTCTTACCTTTTAAAGAGCTGTCTGTGTTGATCGTCTCCTTGGCACTCTCACCTCGCATTATATTCCCCATCCTCCAGCCTAGAGTCAAGGCACAAGGACAGAACAACTGTGAACCTACAAACTAATTTTCCACTCATGTGTCTGTATTTCTGTTGTGAAACTAAACCTCTCTCTACTGCTGCCACACCACACAGCTTTTATGTCCTATAAGCTGACCATTGATCTCAAACAACATACTCAGAATAGGGAAGCTGGGGCTAGATGCTATCAGTCAGAATTTTCCATTGGTAAACCCAGCCCTGTGTACACCAATGAATAATGATATTGAATTCACATATTGCAAAATCATGTCCGCTTGTTTTAAAATGCAATTCATATTTCATAACTTACACCATGAGGCATTTCAACAGATCCTGCCTGTGACCATATACTTAGGTTGCATCACAGTGTTGGCCAGTATGGAGAAATAATGTGGACTGTCAACAACCTGCCGAGATGGAAAGCTTTGAACGCGGCTGGCGGTATAAATTGTAGACACCTACCTGTGGGAGTTGTAGCTGGCCTGCTGTGAGGGCATCAAGTGTGTTTAAAGAGATAATGACCCATGGTGGCAGCAGCCGAGTCCGCTACTACAAAAGTATCATGTTCATAACAGCTTACAGCAATGACCTGTCACAGAGTGTGGCGACAGCTCTGCATCTGACTGCAAACTCACTTCCTGTAATGAAATGAGGAAGAAGGCCCGCATAAGTGTTTTTGACACACTCACTCCTCAAAGGAAGGGTGCACATAACACCCATTTAAATGTAGTTATTTACAGCAACCGAAAGCTTTAATGTATGCTAAAAAAAAACGTGTTAACATATGTAAAAACGCTGGTAATGTTACTGATGTTCCAGAAGAGATCAACCTTATTTTATGAATGCTTTAATACAGTCCAATGAGCTATTAGTATTTACTAACTAATTGTGTTTTTATTAGGGCTGTCAGTCGATTAAAATATTTAATCGTGATTAATCGCATGATTGTCCATAGTTAATCGCGATTAATCGCAAATTAATCGCACATTTTTTATCTGTTCTAAATGTACCTTAGAGGGATATTTTTTCAAGTTTTTAATACTCATATCAACATATGAGTGGACAAATATGCTATATATGTTTGTTTATTATCATTTGAACAATGACAAATATTCTCATGAATATTAATCACAACAACCTCTGAACATTACAAATATTCGCCTCAATTCAACCTGGAACCTCTCTCATACAATAAAAAGTGTGTTGTGTGTGTGTGTGTGTGTGTGTGTGTGTGTGTGTGTGTGTGTGTGTGTGTGTGTGTGTGTGTGTGTGTGTGTGTGTGTGTGTGTGTGTGTGTGTGTGTGTGTGTGTGTGTGTGTGTGTGTGTGTGTGTGTGTGTGTGTGTGTGTGTGTGTGTGTGTGTGTGTGTGTGTGTGTGGAGACACTGTGATGGATCGTTGGAGCTATGTGCAGCTCAAGGCATATATGCTCGAACGGGTGCTGCCTGGACGCTGCAATCATGTTGCGCACACTATCCGTGCTGAGTGTGCTGACTTTTCGTACAATGTCCCACTGTCTGGCTACCTGCATAAAGTCAAGTGCTCGGCGCAGTTGTCGGCGAAATGTCGCTCCTCTGTTTTCATTGAAACAGCTCCTTATATCCGTTAGCGCCGCTAGCTAGCACCAGATGCTAACAACAACAACAACACATGCGTTAATCGCGTTAAAATAATTAGTGGCGTTAATTTTTTTTTGCGTTAACCCGTTATTAACGCGTTAACTTGACAGCCCTAGTTTTTATGTGTAGCATAGAAATATCTTAAAATACATCAAAGTGGACCTATCATGCTATATTTGAATAATATAGTATAGGACCATACACCAGGACATATAAGGCATATCTATACTTTTTTTTTTTTTAAATACCAAACAGATCATGCCATGCCTCATTTTGCTCAATTTGACATTTTTTAGCTCTGTTTTTGCAAGGGCAGATTATGTGAGAACAGCACAACCTACAGGCCTGGCATATGTACTACAGCGTCTCCAGCGCTTTCGAACGGCGTGGCTGTCTCCTCCTGATTGGTGGAGTTGGCCCAATAGCCGTAGCGCCACTGTCCTGACGTCAGGACAGTGTTCAAATCTGGATCAGTTTTTATCAGATCCGTTGCAGCCCCTTTTTTAGAGATTTGGGTATGGAGGAAAATAGAGAGGGTTGTGTTTTTTGACACTTGGTGAGTTCCCTGGAACACCGGGGACACATATTCATGTATAAAAGACGTACAAAAGTGCATTTTGCATGATAGGTCCCCTTTAAAGCTGAAATGATTAGTCAAACTAGTAGAGTGGCAGAAAATGTATCAATGTTTGATTCATTTGAGTTTTTTATTCAAGCATTACCTTGTTCCAGCTTCTCCATTGCAAATAAGGCTCTTCTTTGTTTTATGTTAGATTAGATTAATAATTAACACATTATATCTCGTTTATTAAATCCTTACAAAAAAGTGTAAAGTATTATTTTAATTGGATTTAAGGTGTTCTATGCACTTTCTTGTCTGGCTCAAGGCAGATACTGTTTACTGGACGATAAAGACTTCCTACTGGGACCTACCACCTACTATTTTCCCTTGTCTCCAGGCTTTGTGCTAAGCTAACTATTTTCCATCTGTAGTTTTGTATTCATGGTACAACGTGAGAGCATTATTCCTATCTAACTCTCTCAACAAATGCAATCAATAAATAAATAAAAAAGAAATGTCGGATTAATCCGAAATGAAAATAGTCTATTGTTACTGCAGTACATTAGTTTAGTTAGTAATTCAGAGACCTCTCCGCCCTTAACTCCTGTATTTAGGCTGTGCTTAAGCATTCAAAAGTGCATTCCTCTTTCTTAATAGCCCCCAGAAACAAATACAAGATCAAATATAGAAGTATTTATTTGTAGTGACATGTTTTACATATACTGGAAAGTTATCTTTAGTCTTTGGCTCAGAGGAAGTCAGCATTTGCCAGTTTCCATGCTTGGTATAGCAGCCTGAGATTGTATGTGACATCCTGCCAATGTAGTTATCTGCGTAGAAATGCCATTATATTTGTTCTAAAGCAGAAAATAAGTAAATGTACTAGTATGCAATAAATGGGCTAATTTGTCTTCATACGTATACACTTAAAAATGATGTTTGTAATAGAAACAAAAACATATGCCAACTCTCATGAACCCATCTCGAGAGAGGAAGCTACTATTGTGTCTTATCTTTAGCTGTGGTGTTTATCTGAGGTCTGAAAGTATCCCAGAATGCTGCTGCAGCAGCTTCAAATTAGGGAACCCAAAACGATCAGTTTCACATCTTCTGAGACAGTTGTTCACAGTTCTATGAAAAATGTTTGTCTGTATATGTTCATGTTCTGAGTGTCAGGGAATGTATGGTATGCAGATGGTGTTTCATGGCAGGACATTTATCTGACAAACCGCGTCTGACTTCAGAAATGTTCAGGGCTAATTATCTTTGCGGCTATACATGATAAAAACTGTCTGAAGTTTCATCCAGACTTTTTCACTCCCTGTCTCACTCTACGTTGCTTCATCATAACTCATTCATACCTATTAAGATGTTCACCCTGACACCAAACACTCCCATTGAGTTCTCATCTCAGATCCACAAATATGTTTTATATCATAGTTACACTTTCGGCTGAAGGCAATAAGCGTTTTAATGTAACACTTATGTAAGGATTTATTGAGTATATCTTAAGCCTCAAATTCCTGGCTATATAAGAATATTCCTCTTTCATGCCATATTACTCTCTCAAGACATATTAGCTCATGCATTTTCCATATTAAAATCTGGATTAGTCACCTTCAAACGATTAGGCCTCTTTCTCCTGCCACCTTTCCTTTCAGAAGGTAGGACAGTAATGCAATAAAAGGAAAAAAAGAGGCAGAGCATGAGATCAGCCTCATTGTTAAAGTATACGTATCTTTTGGGGATTTTGTAAATTTTGTAAATCGTGTAAACCTATTTCATATTGCCGTCATTGTGGCATTTTAAACACTGAGCTGGCAGTTTCTCTGGTTGAGTTCTTCCTGCTGTGTGCGTGTGAAGTGTGTGGGTGTGTGTGTATTTGGAAGAGTAAAGTCAGTTCTAAGAGACGGATAGTATATTCTATAGAGAAAGTACACAGGATTTGGAAGTTTCTTTTTTCAAGGCTGTACCAAAAAGTCTGAAAGAAAGAAAGAAAGAGAGCTGCTGCTGTAGCTTGGTGGGTGGTGCCTGCATGGTGTCAGATGCCAGATCTCTAGCTGTTGTGGCTGCAAGAGAGGAAGGAAGTCTTCATCGGGTTTAGATGAAAATAAACACATAGTCAACGTGTAGCTTGTGTGGTGACAGTGTAAAAAGCTCAGAGAATAGAGCAACACTTCCTGTGGCCAGTTCGTATTCATTTTTAGAAAGCTCAAAAGTAGATTGTAGTTAATTGGGTTTGTTGGTGGAAATGTTACCGGCAGATGTTTCCATCTTCTTTGCATTTCTTCACAATGTTGTGCTACCGCAGACAAGCTTTTTGTGATCTTTTTGGAATTGTTTACTGAAGGGTTTGGTTCAGCCGCATTTCAAAATAATAAAACAAATGACAAGCAAACTGTCCCACTCACCTCCATGGTATGTAGTTGTTTCTTCAAGACACAAAGTGATGTCAACAGCTCATATTCTTATATATTTGTATATATTGTATTATCTATTTTCTAATTTGGTGAATCACTGATATGCGTTTAATCTTTGTACTTTGTTTATTAAGGTACGTTTCACAATTGCATGATAAAACATTACGGATTCAGAATACAATTGGCAAAAGATATAAATATAACATTAAAAAAGCCACAGTAAATAGGGTTTCCAACTATTTGAGATAAAATACAAAGCATACCAGGCTTTTACCACACTCTTCACATTTTCCTCCTTGACTACAAGTTTTTATTTTCTGTTTTGCTCTTGAGGTCCTGGCTTGTGTCACGGACAGTGCCAGGGCCATGTGTCTCTGAATGAGTCACCAGCCGACAGAACGCAGGTGAAACCAGTTCAATGGACTCTTTGTTGCATCTGGATGGAAAACGTATCACTTAAGGTAATTGATTGAGACTTATTAATCTTAATTGCCTCGATTGAAAACGTTTGTCTAAAATTGGATTAGGCAGGTGTTTATTTGGCAAATTACATGAATTACATCGTATAGGCCACTGCAAGTTTAAGTAAAGGGAAGAAATTAAAGGGAATGTATCTGCCATACATCATAATCATTACAGGTCTTGTGACTTGTGACTGTTATTTATATTGATTGTTGTGCTTTTATTTAGGTCTTAATGTGTGCATATGTATAAATGTGTCTTTGATTGTGTATATATAGGTGTATACATATTTTCATACATATTTTTATATATATTTGTTTTTGTATTCGGGATTGTGGGAAACGGTATTTCGATCTCTCTGTCTGTACACACAAACTGAAAGATTGACAATAAAGTTGACTTTAAATATCAATGAAAACCTTATATTTTTTCTAAATCCATATCCTCTCGTGAATACCAAAATAAACTCGGAACAAATGTTTTTATTCATAAAATGCTCATAAAAGCAGTGCAGCAGGTGTTTCCAGATGGTACGCTGGCAGTAAAGCTGATATTTGGCTGTC